TAGATAAAAACCATCGATGGAGTTCTTCAAGATGTTCTTTTGTCAAATCGGCTCCCGCCCCTTGACAATTCCAAGCTACAGCGTTCATCCTAAAACTCTGGTGGCTTACGAGCTTCCATCACCGTTGGTGTTTTGCGAAATTTATTCTGTTTGCTAAGTCCCTCAATGGGCTCCTCATTTAGAGGGAAGTTTTCAACATTTGAACTTGGGCTTGGCCTAGACTTTTTGTCTTTCTTCTTTGGTGGGGTTGGGCCATTTGCTAAAGCCTTCATCTTTAAATAGAAGCCCATAATTTTTGGGCTTTGTGGGACACGTTTCTTTGCCTTCCCCATCGGTTTTTTTTTCCTGCGATACTGGTTCGATCTGCTTGATTTCCTTCACCGTTGCCCGATCGGTATCTTCATCCATAAGCTCCTCCGTTGAAAGCTCAGCTGAGGTATCATGTTTCTTCTGGGTCGCTTCATAGATGGGATCTTTTTCTAACAGCTCGTTTACCTCATCTATCAACAGATCATCATTCATCATCTCCTCCTCTGTATAGAAATCCTCGCCTATTTTCCATACATCCTCGTCGGTCTCCTCTGATAACACCGTCGCTCTTCCCTTTGCCAATTGAGTAGCATCGGGCTCCATTGTTTTGTCTTCATCCTCATCGATAACTGCCAATCTTTCCCTCTCGGCCATGGATTGGTTAGATCTTTCCCGTGGTTGGTTGAAATTTTGAGCTGCTTCTTCCTCCTCCTCTTCAAGGGTAATCTCATACCAGCTCTTCTTCTTGGTTTCGGGGAGATCCCTCTTGGGATCAGGGGCCATCGTTTTTGATCCATCGGTCATTGAATCCAAGAGATTAAAATTAAGGCTCTTCTTAGCCGAGCTTCCTGTTTCAGAGACCTCTCCTGTATCCATGGCGGTCGTTTCGTTTTGTTTCGGAATTGAGATGGTACTTTGCAGTTTAAGATGGAACGGGCGTTTCTTTTGATGTGGCGGTGATATATGGGAGAGAAAGAGTGTCTAAAGTATTTCATTTGAGAATCCCTCATCA